ATACTTTGAAAATAATTTTGTTTGTGCTCCACAAATTTATCAGATTTCTCGGGAAATCGGGCGGTTGCGGTTTGGGGATACTTCTTTTGGTCTTCTTGGAGTACAAAAAGAAAAATAATGATTTTTATTTATATCAAGGAAGGAGGCATGAAACCACACGGCAAATACCATTGACCCCAAGATTGAAGATTTAACAATCGTTCTTCGAGATTCCAATGTTAAACACATTTCCAAGGAGGACGGGCGCGGGAGGGATATGGGAAATGGATCAAAAAAAGAGAGACGACAGAAGAGAAATGGACGAAGCCAGAACCTGCTGCAGTACAAAACCAGCCTGCCGAGGATGTAACGTTATGTCTATTAGATTCTAGAGAGGGCCAAGAGGAACATCATGACTGAAGTCTACAAAGACACAAGGAGCAAGATTAGGATTCGGGTGGACAGCATACGAGGCTTTACCGTCTCCTCTGGGATAAAGACGGTTTACGAGAGTTCTCATATAAGCTGACATATATGAAGATGCAGAGGCAATTTATTGTGTTATTATATATTCTGCTGCAATGTTCCGTTCTCTCTGGAATTATACTATTTTGTATATCTAACATTTAGAAAACTTAAATATGTCAAATAATGTTTAAGTAAGCATACCAAAAGAGGTTCGCGCCGGTCTACTTATTTAAACGTAATAAAAATAGCAAGTAAAATGGAATATGTATTTAAATGTTGTTTAAATAATATTATTTATACAATAACATTTTTCAAATTTGGCTAATAAGCGAAAGAAATTAATTACATGGATTCTTACATGGATTCTTATCTCTGTCACATGTTTTTTTTAAATATTTCTAATCATGTTTATGTAGTGGTATATAAAGCTCGTGACGAATATCCCTTTGTTCGTTGGCTCGATAATAATTACAATTACAAGCGAATGCCTATTAAGCTCGCGCTTGCGTGGACGAGTTCCGTGGAGGGATTTTCAGGGACAGTGTCGAGCGGAGCACGAGCGGGACAGAGTCAAGGCGAACGGTGACGTTCGTGGGAGACGAGGAGGACGGAGGAGAGAGAACGAGGGAGCCGGCAGAGCCTCTCCGAGGAGAGAGGTAGAGCTCTCGCTCTCCCTCTTCGGACGCGGTCGAAGACACGAAACACCACCATGGTCGCTCGTTACATAAGTAAGGTAAAGGATCTCCTCTTCTCTGCTCTCCTTGAGTCGATCCACATTCGCGATTATACCACTTTCCATCGACCTCACTTTACCCCGAGTGCGGTGCTCGTTCGCGCGTTTACGTACGTGTACTCGAGTCCGTGTGCATGGGTATACCCGCGTGTAATTAACAGTTCTGTTCGGAACTGTTCGCAGGATTTGGCTTACAGCGTTTAATACAGGCGTTCGCTACATTTACAGAACAACCCTGCATCGGGAACGCGCAGTCGTTCCGTCGGCAGATTTAAACACGATGGGAAGCATAACTTCAAAAAGGAGATTAATTTAACAGAAACGGTAGCTTGTGCATACATACGAGAGAATCACAATTCTAGAACTATATATCGTCAACGCTTTTATACGGATTTTGAGACAGAATTCATTCTGTATTAAAATGGAGAAGAAACGCTCAAAATAAATCTCTTTTTTGGAAGTAATCTGACTCTAAAATGTAAATACAAAAGTGCTTATTTTTTTCTACATTTTGACTTGTATTAGCTTAAAAAAAATCTTGGAAACCCAAGATATCAAGGAAATATTACCTTGTTATTTAATATATAATTATAATAAGGCTCAATAAATTTAAAAAATAATAAAAAGAAACAGAGCTACGAGTCTTTAGGCTTTCTTTTTATTACTTTTTATTTAATTTCTTTAAAAATAATTTTCTATGAAAAATACAGAAATATAGAAATATAGAAAATGTATTAAATGACATTGTATTTTTCAATTTAATACACTCTAAAAAAATAATTATTAGAAGCTACAATATGACTTTTTAATATCATAATTAAAGCTTTTTTTATGAAGAATACATAAAACTTCACATATAAACTTACAAATATTTTCTTAGAAGGTATCTCTAATCTTTTGCGTGGTCCTTGAAATTCCATAGTACCTAAAGGTCCCGTGTGATGTAAAAGAGCCATTGTAAGCGGACTCGGATAAATTGATGTCGGAGCTAGTGAAGTAAATTGTAATTTGGAGGTCGTCATCCAATGGGTGGCACACTGTCACGCAGGAGAGCCGAGCGTGCATTGACCTATCGTGTGACCTCCGACAACACGACCTTAATGTCGATGATAAACCTCGACGCGGATTTACTTATGGCGACCCTGCACATACCCAATTGTGCGAAATAATGAGTTCCTACTTTTGCGATTCATGCTTTCATGTATAGAAATTAGTCTTTAATCTTTATACAGATTGCTGAAATTGAATTTGAGGAAGAAAACATGAAATAATTAGTGGAATAAAAAATTACAGACCTATTACATTTAACGAGAATATAATCGTCTAATGTACATTATTCGGTGGTTTTACCATTCATTTTTTTAATGTCCTTTAAAAATCTTAACTCAATTTAATGAAAATTGAATTAATTTCATTAAAACTTTGTCTATTGTTAGCGTTGATTTAAATTGGAAAGTGTTATTGACGTTTTTATTATAAAAAATACTTAAAAAATTGAAAATTAATATGGATTAATTAACAACATTATTAGTTAGTTACAAAATTATAATTTTTTAATTATAATTTTTATTATTATTAACACTTAAAGAAACAGTACAGACATCTACAGAAGACAGAGGAAACTAAATTTTATTATATCTGTAGGTAGATCTTCAGTAGAAGATGATTCTACTTAATCTGTTAGATGGCAGCAGAATATGTCATCAGATATTTAATTATATTGATAAAAAATTTCTGTTTTCAAATTAATTTATTAAATCAGTATATGGTACAATAAACTTATACTGAAATACAATAAAATTATACTGACGAATTGTTAATTAAATCAATTTGATCGTATTACAGTTCTATACCTGTAAATTATAATTGTAATTAAAGAAATACTAAAATTGTAATTTTAACGTTTATATGAATGAAATTTGCAAATGATTATATTTTATATTTAATTAATATTATTTCCATTCTTTGCAAATAACAGAATTAAATTAAAGAATTTATTATGCCAATGTGAATCATTACCCACTTTTAAAAAATAGAGCACATCGAATTTGTTTATTTAATTATTTCTCTTTTTATAATATTAATTCAACATCTCGATTCAGCATATTATGTATATTATTTCTTGTCATGAACAGCTGTGGTCGTAATTTTAATAATTTATTATGATAACTTTATAATTAGTCGGTGAAATATAGAATTAATTCTTAATGTTTACTTACTGATCAATATTAAATTTTAAATTCTTTTTTCATAAATTTAATTTTTAAAATTTAAATTTCAGAATATTTTAAAAACACATACACAAAAATAAATAAATTTTAAATTAGCGTTAACTGTAATCTATTGAAAAATCTTCGACATTGGAAAATAAGCGGTGTGAATGTTCTATTAAAAAATATTTTATCAAAATAAATAAGACTCGCAATTTTCTTTAATAGGCCAGTCATTTTAGAGAAAAAAAAGGCGTTTACTCATAAGTGATGCGACACGCAAAATTTTATTTTCTATATGTGGGGGGGTTATCAGAAAAGCTTATTTCTGAGCAGGGAATGGAAGTAACTCGTTACTTGTAACGAAGTTACAGTTACAAGTTACTTTTTTGGTAACTTTACTGGTAACTGCGTTACTTTCTTTTTTTGGTAACTGTAACGGTAACGAGTTACATTTTTTGGG